CAAGTTACATCTTGGAATAACTTGTCGTTATGCATATTCACAGTAAAATCCAATCTAAGACCTATATGCATCATGCTTAACACAAAATATTTTTAACGCTACCCTAATTTCATATCTATCGACTTGATGTACAGTATTTTCCATGCATAATGAGAGTGAATCCTTATCCACATATATGCTTAGCGAAAGGTCTGACTGTATGCTTGAGTTCAAACAATGATGGCTATTATGATGAAATGGACTTCAAAACGTATTATGTGACATGAAATTAAGCTAGTGCAAATAACACACAACTGACCAAGATAAAATATGATTGTTGAGAGTATACATCAAATTCTCAATGTGGTACGGCAATGTGACTTTATGCAAATTTTCAAAAGATGTTTTGGACAAAGTCAATCAACATGGCAGTTTATGTCATCAATCAAAGTTACTTTGTGATCTTAGAATTTGAGCTTTCCAAAGAAAAGTTGTATGATAAAACTCTATTCTTATCTCATCTGAAGATTATTAATTGCATGACATTTGTGCATGTGGATTTGAATAAAATAAAAAAAAGAAATGCACAGATCAAAAAATGTATTTTTCTTTCAGATGAATTCAAAAACATATAGAATTGAAGTATCATTATAAACGTGAATTGATCAATGATGGAATATTGTTGTTGAGAATAATTGCAGTTGCTATAAAACCTACAATACTTGTTCACGAAAATTGTCATCAAGAATAAACTATAGCTATGCACTTACTAAGTTTGACTTAATTATTAGTCAAATGAAAGCTACTACTAGCTTATGCAAGATTGTTTGGAGTAAACGAGATGCTATAGTACATTGAAACATTATTATGCAAATGTTACATGTTTGTCTTCAGGTTGAAGATTTTGGATGTGAAGACAACTTGTTCACCTAGTTATGTGACATTATGTCATTCTTGTTTGATTTATTTTTCTTTGTATCAAAATTTTTCTAGGCTATATAAAGTATTCTAAATTTTTCTTGTGATCATTGCGTCATCTTGACAAGAAATTGAAGCCAAAATTCTGTGACCCGAAATGTGTCTAGACGCTTTGCAGTTGAAATATTTTTCTTATTCATAACAAAATTTATGCCAATAAGATTTGTAGTTTTCTTTTCATACAATTAGTTTTAATTCACAATTTAATGTTTTATTCTATCTTATTTATATCAGTACTGCGTTGTGTTATTGTGCAACTTGACATTACACAAAGTTAGAGTGTTACAAGTTTGAGCCACCTTTGATCTCTATATCATATTCTTACTTCAATGAGGAAGTTTTTTATGAAACAAATGTTTGCAATTTTGTCAAATGCACTCACAAAAATCTCATGAAAATAATCAAACATATTTTTGGAAGTCATTTGTACATATGATCAACATAGATTTACATACGCATAGTTTCAACCTACATTCTACATGTGTGATTGATTACTTCATACTATATTCACAATACAAATCAGACTTCAATGCAATTTAGAATAGATAATAATATCTATAATAGAGTTCACAGGACATCTTGTGATATCTATTATATAACAATAAATCTAACATACTTCACTAATCTGCTCAAGGTAACTTTAGTCATAAAAAAATTAAATTACTCATAACATATATTGTATGATTAGATAGAATTAGAGAGTTTATATAAAATAATTGAATCCATCTTAAAAAAATTTACTTCAAATATTTTTGAAATTTGTTAATAATATGAATAATATAAAAGTATGTCAAATTATTACATGAAATTTATTCGAATTTATACAAAATAAATTAAAATCTAAATAAAATTGTGTAAATCCAAATAAATGTTATTTATTTCAAAAAATCTTATATTTCACATACATAATTGCATGTCATTGAAAAAAGAATGCATTTAAAATTGTTATGAAACAATTAATTCATATATAATTTGTTGTTGATGTTTAAATTGGGAATTTAAACTTAGTTTGAAAAATAAATGATTTTCATTATAATAGAATAAAAATGATAATTGATTTTTTGTTCAAACAAATTTTAAATATTTTTTTTACATATTAAATCATTTAAAATTTGTTTGAACTTTTATAAATTTAAAATTTAAGGTACATAGAAATAATAAACTAAACTTGAGAAAAAAAAACATAAATATATGAAAACATAGAAAATTTTGATATCCGTTAATTTTGCTGATGTGTTGAAAAATCAAAAAACCTTTGCAAATATTAGATGTAATTATTTTAGATGTTTTCAAATTATACTTATAGTTCATACTACTGATTTATTGATCCAAATTTATAAATTAATAATATTGTTCAAAATCAGTATAATTTTGGATATGATGATATATAATATGTGTATTACTATTATTATGAAGACTATTGCATGCCCTTTGATTAGATGCTTAACATTCTTTTGATGGTACGTGCATTTGAGTAAAGCTAGTTATAAATTTTTATGTATCTTAATAAATTTGAAGAATTTCCGATTTTTTAATAATTATAAAAAAATTTAAAAATTTAAAAATAAGTTTATTTCACACATGAAAGTAATAGATGCTGGGATTTTCATGAAGAACATTTTTTCAAATATGATAATTATCTAAAATTTATTTGAATATTTTCTATTTGAAGATATGTTTCAAGATTTGTACGAATTACTTAATCAATAAAATACTTTCATAAATCAACAATAATATGATGGAGTTATAATAAATTTTCTTTCCACATGCAAGAATTTCATAACAATTGGATTGAACTTCTCTACATTCAAAATGGTGACTTAATTACAGTGCTTAACTTAGCATATGATTTGTCTGATTATGTGAAAGATTTATTTAACATATAAATTAATATTCATTTCAATGAAAATTCGCTGATACATTCAAAAAAACTGCTCATTACATGAAATAGGTTTTCTGAATTGGGTTCTCATTAGGATCATGATCATCATTGACATAACATTTTTTTTCTTTCATGGCTTGAAGCTACATACTCAAACCTTAGTTCTCCGCAACAAGCTCAACTTCTCCCATTCCTCAATTTTGCCAGAAATTTATAAACGATCTGTTTCATCATTACCTTTCTTCGTATCAACTTGATTATGAATCTAAATTCCAGCAAAAGCTGGCCAGGAAGGAAGTCATTATGTATTCTTAATATTCAACTTTATATTAAATAATTGCCCAGATTGTTTCTCTAAAAACTCTTCTTGTCACGGCATTTGCACCATGTGCTGCTAAGCCAGAAACAACCTCAAAATAAAGTTTGAACCCATTTACAACAATCCATTGCATCAAAGACACTATATATAGAGTGTTTGAGCAACGTACACAGTTTTACCTTTGGGTTAGACAGGTTCCGAGTAATCTAGATTTCACATTAGATTGTTATCCACACTGTTTATAGAAATTAATGTGAAATAATTTTGATCCAAATTACAATGTCATGATTAGTCCGTCTAGAGTCAAAGCAATGGTGGTAATGAACGTAACATACCTATACGTTCAACTAGCGTATAGCATAACAAAATCTGAGTTTTGCATTTTCAAAATTTATCGTTGAGTAATCATTCGTGAAACATACCCTGGTTTGAGGTACAAATATCAAACATGACGACTGACTGATTCTAGACGTAATCAGGTCAATAGAAAAGATCGCTTCTGAGTTAGAGTTTGATGCTACCAGATTTACGTCAAATTGGGGAGAGAGGAGTCACGGACAACGAACTTTGAAGGTGAGCGTTGGACATCTCTTAATGATTTAGGGAGAACGTGTTCCATGAAGTAATACCACTTACCTGATTAAGGACTGGGCACTTATTTTTAGCAAGGACGAGAAACCGCGCGTGAGATGAATACATAATGGTCTGATACCGAACCATGTACGCGCAGTTGAGTCGACGACCTTTTGTTTGACCTGGAGGAAATGATTCGACAACCTCGGTGAAAACTTCACCCCTGCCGCCACGTGTCGTTACTGAGTTTACATTTCACTATTTTTCAAACCGCCAACGGTTTTCTTTCTCCCCGCTAAATTGAACCCGCTTGATGAGGGCCTGAATACCTCTGGTTTTAATGAAACTAGGTTTTGGGCTGTGGCTGGTTCTATGATCCGTTTCAGTTCGAAATTTGAAAGAGCCGAGATTGACCCCGGAAAGGTTTTGTATCTCACGTTCGTATTTACCGGGCTAGACTGTATTTACGAAGCAATCTAGAGATCTAAGGGATACAGAGGATCGGACAAGAATGGCAAGGAGGATTTGAACCGGGTGTTCCCTCGCCGCGGGAAAAATACGGTGACCGCAGATTAATGCCGGAGAAGAATACGACCATAGTAGACGGTATGGGTATTTCGGGCGAAAAGCTTAGCAAACAATCAGACCTATTAATATCTTCCTATGCGGTGCACTTGTGGTACGTCACCAATTTCATGAATGAATATATAACCCTAAAACCAATCATCCTCTGTGCTAAGAAACCCCCTAGTTGCAAAACACACAGCGCCTTGGCGACGTCCCCTCCTTCATAGCAATCGATATGCAAGAAACAGAGGTGGAGTAAATGCAGGGCACGACGAAGGTAACGCATTCCATGTACATGAAAAGCCAGCAGATTTAGTCTGTTCACCTAGAATTTATTATCGAGCCTTGTAGTAATATCTCGTTTCCTGAATTTGTGGGATGTTGGAAGGTCCTGCTTATTTTATTGTAAATCTCAACGGGATCAATATTCAGCAGTGGGCTATGTGGCGTAACAGTTTTAGGAAGTGTCACGTGATTGTTTCTAGGTGTGTACAGAACCAAGTCTTCACCAAGAGTCTCTGTTCATTCGTCGTATGTAATGATGTATTATACTGGATCGATATACAAATGAAATTCGAAATTATACCGATTTACTCAGAAGTACGGCGAGGAGTTTTACTTGACTGTAGAGGGAGGAAAAGGAGAAATGACAGATATACAAAGAGCAATCCTGACCTTAGCGAGGTATGGCGATTGCCCAGGCCTGCGCTGCACGAGTTTGAACGTGAAGGGAACGGCGAGCGATGTCGCGCGGTTTAGACCCGGGGGTCGGAACGAGGGAGCGTGAGCAGGCAGGCAGGCCCACTGGTTGCGAGAGGCTCGTTGGCTGCCGGGGCTCGTCCAGTCTCTGGCCTTGTTGAGGTTTGTGCTCTGTGTGGTCCCAACTCTTCCCATTGAGGTTTTCTCCTCTCTCTCCCTCTCTCTCCCTCTCCCTCTCTGCGTCTCCCCCTTCCCTTCCTTTCCTTCGTTCGCGGCGTCCCTCGACACCAGCAAGCAAGCCCAAACTCGAGAGGAGAAGACAGGAGAGGGTAGCGCTGGAGCGTTGTAGAGGCCCTGCAGCAGAAGAAACATCTCTCTGAAGGCACTCTTCCGCTTTGCTTGCTGCGCCTCTCCAGCAAGCGAGTGACTCTTTTGGTTACAGTACTCAAGGATCATCAGCTTTTGCCCGTTCTTTTTCCTCGTAATTCTTGCAACGATCTTGGTGCTCGCAAAGACTTACTTTTCTCTTTCGGTTTTGGATTATGATAAAACACTGTGGCTCGAACGAGGAGAACACAACCTAATCTCGAATCCTATCGAATCGGTTTTGGTCCGGGTAAGGTGGTTAATTTATTGAGGAGGTGACTCGCAAGAGGAAGGAAGGTGCCGGAGAGCGGCTTGGAGGTAGAACCACGCGATAGTTTTCCATTTGAAGGGCTGGTGTCCAAGGACTTCGGTGTTGGAGTTCGGTGAGCCGTGAGAGTTATGGTTACACGGTCATTCAAAGTCATCAGATAGTTACACAGTCATCAAAAGTCATACAATCAGCCAGTTTTCTGGCTCCCGCAATCAACCAGTTTTAAGCGCTTCTCTCTTTTAAGTGCTTTTCTTGCCGAGAAGTAATCTTTAAACTTGTCAGATTGTCATCCGAGTTGAAGCGCAGAGGGATAGATACGGTGTTACGTGCACTGTTTTGCCCGTTTCTTATCTCCCCTTCCTCCTTTCACACGTGCATAACTCTACCGTTCCTACAAGCCCTTCGTTTCTCTTCCCGGATAGCAGTGTCTGGTTCTAAAAGAGGGACCTAGTGTCTCGTCCTGTTTTCCTCGGGGTTCGTCTAGTGGCATCAAGTGGCGACTGAGGTCTTCCTCATCGCCCACCTCCCAACCCGTTCCTCAATCTGTTCCAGGAACCAGTACATCCTTTGAATAGTAGGTTTCTTCGAGATGAGCACGGTATCCGATATTGGAGACGGTAGATTTAGCACAATTGAGTGAATATGTGTTGTAACACAACGACCAATTTCGAGACCCCGTTTTAAGAGTTGACACCTATGGCACGAGGGAAATACAGGGGTTTGCGATAATTTTCTTCTGTACGGAGGAGAATTTAAGTTGGAGGTCAACTTGCGGGAACGGCAGGTTGTTGACAACTTTTTGCTCCCAGACTCACTTCTGAGATACAAAGTTTATCATGGAGCTCAAGGCAGACGGACGGAGGTCAAGACAAGCACCGGCCTCTCAGTGACGCGAGACCTTAAATGTGGCACAAACTATCAAAGGTTTTGAGTGCAAGAGGATAGTCAGTGGGGAAATATTTGACCTCCGTACCCTCTGCCTCAGGTTTACAGAAATTGGTGCAGTACGAGCAACGGACGCTTTTTCGTTGTATAGGTACTCTGTGTGTGATCGTCACAGTTTCTCTGTGCGTGTAGAAGCTATCTATGGAGACAAGATCCTTAGTAGGGACTGAGCGCATGGACACAAAGATCATATCAGGAAGTGAGAGGAAAGGTCATAAGAGAAAGCTGGCAGATACTTCTTTAGGGCTTGTAGCCGCGGATGGGCCGAACAACCATCTCATCCTAGATGTAAGAAATCAGATTGAAGTACTGAAGGGTTGTACATCTTGGAGGGAGGCCGATCGCGTTGCAGCCCGTCGTGCAGCCCACTCATTGGCAGAGCTTGCCAAGCATGGTAAGGATTCTAAACGCAAGTATATGGAGTTCTACTGCTTTTTTTCTGGTTTCGGCTTACGGACCCTCCGTTTCGCCAATTTTTTCGTCTGTCCTGTCGGAGCGTACTTGTACTCGTGGAGCTATGATAATGGGAAGTCGCGTGCATAGTAGTGTCTATCTGGCATGTGCCCAGTTGTGTATGCGTTTTCATCTATGATGCTTCCTCCGGCTTAGGACTCTCTGCTGGCCTGCAAGTTTGATTGTATCTGAGCATTCTTACTGGGCTTGGTCTCGTTGATGCCTTTCGGGCTCAGTGTGGTAATCTAGTTGCAATTTCAGTTCCAATATCGGCTGTTTACTTGAAGAGCCCTGAGTATCATCTCCATTCGGCAAGGACTATACCCATTTTCCAGAGTTTGTAAGCCTACACAGAAAATAATGAAAAGGGAAATAAAGAGATGGTTAAGGGGAGAATAGAAGCAAGTAGAGAACAATGGGAATGGGCCAGAGGGAGACAACAGTTTTGGATTTTGAAGGGCCAAACTGAAGGTGCATACATGTGGGTTTCAACTTACGGTGCTCTTAGACTATTAGTTTCATTCTCTGTAATTATCTCATGTTAATGATGCAGTCTGTTACACCCATCATGTGCCTATCGAAGTTTTCGTTCTTTATAATTTTGTTAATCTCAGTTGCCATTCTCGTTCCCCGCGCAGAAGATGCCGCATCGTAAAGCATCTTCTGTTTTACATGGCTTTTGTGCGCAAAGCCGGATGATGTGGCTATGGATTGATGCATGGCGGGTATATGTTGATGTTCCCTGTTTCCGTTTCTCGCATCTAAGTCGAAAAAAAATTTTGCACAATCAAACATCAGTTCATATGATCTCGTTCGTGTTCTATCCACGTGCACTTCCTTTGGACTCCCGATGCTTGCTTTCATATTCTGCAACTCTTCGTTTAGAATCTCGAATTTTGAACAAATATTTATATGCGTGTAGACGAGACCATGTGACGGTGGTGATTTCCGCCTAGTAGATGTTGTTGATCGTCCTGGTTTTCTCCTATCGCCGTGCCCGAGGAACCATACTGCACAAATTTCTGTCAGTGCTTATGCAGTTGTTGGTCTTCTGATCATGATCTAAAATCTGTATCGTATTTTCCCGTGGACTGCTGATAGTTGCTTCATCGTTTATCTCAACTCATTGCATGCTTCTGGTAAGGATACTCTATGATCGTTTGGCCTTCAAAGCCGTTAATTTCTTCAGTTTGGGTTTTAAACATATCTGTCACTTAAACCTGTACCTCATCTATTGTATCGCTGCTGTCTGCGTCGTCTTCTTTAGTTGAGTGCGACTTCGGGTCTGTTCTACATCGCGTGACAATTCAAGTGCATGAGGTTTCACCTAACGTAGAGCCCGTTGGTTGTACCTCAACGGTCTGTGCTCTTCGGTCTTCTTTGCGTGTCAATCTCTTCATATCCCATATTTTCCATGCTCTCTAAATGAATTACTTTCAACGAGGTACTCCCGAGCAGTTTCTGTCGGTCTCTAATTTATACTCTTCTGTGCAGAAGAGCATGTTGAAACAATAGTAGACGAAGGTGCTGTTGATGCCCTCGTTCCACACCTTTGCGCTCCGCTTGTTGAAGAAGGAGGAGGGCCCATATCATGTGAACATGAAGTGGAGAAAGACGCGGCGTTCGCTTTAGGACTACTCGCTGTCAAGGTTTGTGCTTTCCATCATTAAAACGTGCAATCTGATCAGCTATTGTTTTCAATTTATGAATTTAGGGCGAAGTTCGTGCCTACATTAATTAACTCGGCCACATTTCTGGTGCCGTAAATAAGAACTACGAAATCGTCAACGTATCTTATGTAACTTAATCGTCGGAAATTAGAATTAATCACATCATATACCGGGTTCTCATTTCCATGAGCAATAGTAGCTCGGCATTGGGAATCTTTTAGTTTGTAAACACCCGAAGGTAGCTTCATACAAACTATTTTTTCTTGTTTTCGGTTTCTAGTCTAATTTTATTAGTAGCAGTTATTGGGGCAAGTACTTGCTATGCATAAAACGATTAAGGTCAAACGTCAGGATGTTTTCATACAAAATGCTATAGGTTTTCAGAATACTATTGAAAAAGTTCGTTGAAACTCCTGTCAATTCATTTTTTGGTAAAACATAATGGTATCGGTTAGAATTCAAAATGAGATTGTCTGGAACTCGGGTCTATATTTTTCTTTATACTCGAGTAAAGCCTTACGGGCTTCTCGTTTCAAGACTTGAGCTTGAAATCCATCAGGCCACAAAGCGGCTCGATGGTTTCGCCTTGCGCCAGGATCCAAAAAATAATTTCGGAAGATACTTTTCGGTGGATCTTCGTTGTTCGGACATAAATACTGGAAACAAGCTGCTTATTAGGATGCCCGTATGCTGACCATGATGTTGACAAGCAAGATGCCAACGAAGCGGGATGTTAGTTTTCTGACGCTTCATGTGGAATTCGTTTTGTGAGCAGCCGGAGCATCAACGTCTCATAGCGGATGCAGGCGCACTTCCCCTCCTTGTTTCTCTGTTGGTGCGAAAGGTTTGCGCATCAAATGCCCGCGTTGTGAATGGCGTTGTCCGACGGGCTGCTGATGCCATAACCAATCTCGCGCACGAAAATGCAAACATCAAGAGCAGAGTGAGGTGAGCCGAAGTGAAGTATCATCCTTAGCGGGAACGAAATTATATTTTAGTCTTTGTTCGTAGATTGAGGCATTACAGCGCTCGAGTCTGAGTAAAAACGTGAAAGCCCACGGAGGACAGTTATTCTTCAATCCCACGTGTGTAACGAAGTTCGTCTATTTTCACAGGACTGAGGGTGGTATACCTCCTCTCGTTGAGCTCTTAGAGTCAACCGATACGAAAGTACAACGTGCGGCAGCTGGTGCCTTGCGCACGCTTGCGTTCAAAAATGAGGCGAATAAGAATCAGGTGAGTTTTGACCCAGACACACAAGCAAGCGTTTACATCCACTTTCCAAAGTTCTGACCGCTCACAAATCAGAAATTAAAGTCTGCATTCCGAATGCAGTCGGAATGTAAGTCGATTAAAACTTGTTTAAACATAGACAAGTCCGATAGCGCTAATGAAAATACATAGATTCTATGCGAAGAATACATGAGCCAATTTCGGTATTATATATATGAAACATCTGATCCTAGTGTTGCTTTACTTTGGGCGAGCAGCACAATGAACAGCACAATGAACGTATGGAAAGTGTCTAAATAAAGAACCAGTCAGAAGAAACCTGACTGGTTATTTAAAGAAGTTAAAATTTTTTTCCGACCACTTACTTCAGAGGAAATTCAGTACAGTTGACAGATTGGGTGAGACAAATCTTGCTAGCTGCAGTCACATATCTAAGAAGTGATTCGGATTCTAACTTCTTGACCCTCTTTCTCACGAACTCTGTACCATCCTCAACATAAAACTGCAGTGTCTTTCAAATCACAGGCCAAACACCTGACCCAGTAGGTCTGCAAACAAACAAATTATACATTCCAAAAAGAAATTAAAAAATGATAAAGAATAGTCTTTTATCATTTTAATACTCTTGATCATAAAATATGAATACATAGATCTTACTTCATCTGTAAAAATTGGACCTGTCTCATTTGAAACGATGGTCCAATCTAGTACGGTTGAAGTTCCAAACATTGACGTGAATTCTCATATTGGACTATGTTGAATTTGGACAAAGTCGGTTGCCACTTTGACAGTGCTTTTGCATGTCATCAGATTGTGGAGAAAAATGCTCTTCCAACACTGATTTTTATGCTTCGATCAGAAGATGTCGGCATCCATTATGAAGCGGTACGGGCTTTCTTGACGTCCGCGATTTCTTTTGGTTTGCAGTTTTCAAGCAGATGCGTTAGACTGATTGCCCTTTAATAGGGACCTGTCGTAACTGTCTGATTTTGCGAATGTGTGGTTTGTTACATTCTGTCGGTTATCCGTATTTGATTATCTCTTATATATTTCGTCCCAGTGAAGTAATAAGTACATTGAGAAGGCAGCATGCATACATGTTTCAGGTTGGAGTGATCGGGAATCTTGTTCACAGCTCGGTAAACATCAAGAAAGAAGTTCTCAACGCGGGTGCTCTCCAACCAGTGATAGGTCTACTGAGGTATGCGTCGATCTGATATTCATCGGATATCGGGATATCTTGAGTACAATGTGATTTTTTTTAATCCAGTTCTTTATGTAGTTTATTCCAAATTTTGATGGGTTTACGTATTCCATAAAGAAGTTTATATATACTTTTTCAAGAATTTTTTATTCCTTATTAAATGTATATTATTAATCTCAAGAATTCACATTCCATAAAATAATATTCCAATGATTTTCGCTTTTTCCAGCACTTAGGTTACACACTGTGCATGGTAGTCCATTTTAGAATGCAAGTGTCTCATGATCTTGATTAACAACAAGTGGCACAAGTGTTCAATATGTTTTAGGTGTGGCTAAGAAAAACTTTGATAGTGCATTGTTGTCACTGTATTGTGAACGTCTTTGGAAAGATCGAATGAGTTTTTATCTCAAATTTTGATGCGTTCAAATGTTCCTTTAATGAATTCTATATATCAATCTCTAAAATATTTCATTATTCTTTATGAAATATATATTGTATGCCTCAAGGTTTCTAGTTCCATCATGAAATGTTGCGAGAAGCTCATATCATCCTCCCTGCGAATTGCTCATGGTATCCTTCTAAAGTTGTACCTGGTTGTGTAGTTCGAGGTGCCAAGAAAGTCAGAGAGAGGCAGCGTTGTTACTGGGACAGTTTGCAACTACAGATCCCGAGTGTAAGGTAAAGATTTGTGCCCTCTAAGATGGAGAATATATTTCATGGGCCCACATTCACTGTATGCGTCTGGTTGTGACTACTTCCTTCTTGATGACATCACTTTCCCGTACACCCCCTATTTATTTAACCATCATTATTTGACCAATAATTAATAATTAAAAAGCACATACAACGAGTGGTTTGTTTTTGCGATCGTATTCGTTGCTTCCCAATTCGTGAATATTAATTGATCTGTACTGATGTCAAATTAAGGAAAAGCAACTTGTCCTTTCTCCCCAAGCCCCTGACAAATAGGTCCGCAATAACTGGATCCACACCTAGCGCGAACACCCTTCATTGAATCTTGTTACTTGTTTTGAAACGAAAGCTAAATGAAAGGTTGTATTCCTACTTATATACCCAGTTCGAGGGTGCTGCTTTCGAGTAAAGGAACCTGTTTTTTTTCTTTCGTAAAGTAAACTTCATGGGCAGATCACCTACTCAAGGGATGCTTGAACGAAACATAGAAGTTCGGAACGAATCTTAGTGACTAGGAAAAGTGTCACTATCGTAGACTTACTCCACTTTGAAATTGTTCTCCTATCTTCTTCTCTGCTCGTTTTCTCCCACTTTCTCTCTTCTAGCGCTACCGATTAGAAACGGCGAGGTGTTCATAGTCTTCAGTATTTGGAGTTGGTATTTCCGTTTTCCCTTACAGGTAGATTCTGCTTAGGTCTTCACGTTCCCCTTATTCGTTAATCTGGTCTAACGAATGGAGTTTTCTCTTCGTCACAGGTTCACATCGTGCAACGTGGCGCGGTTCGGCCCCTAATCAGGATGCTTGAGGCACAGGATCCTCAGCTTCGTGAGATGGCAGCGTTTGCTCTAGGTCGCCTTGCTCAGGTCTGATAACTACCTACATGGAAGTTGTAACTTTCTCCATGGTATTCTACGTACGGAACAGAAAAGACGAAGATAATTTCGGTTTAAAAAATATTGGTGGAAGCATATTCAATAAATCAGCTGTAGAGCTGAAGTAACACCTTCGAACGTTTTAGTCTGTGCAGAACACCCATAACCAAGCAGGAATCGTACATGACGGGGGTTTGAGACCCTTGCTAGAGCTACTTGATTCAAAGAATGGGTCATTACAGCACAATGCAGCTTTTGCCCTGTATGGTTTAGCTGATAATGAGGTGAGTGTTTACAGTTTTTCTTCACATTTTGTCGGCGTTCTCGTGAACGACTTTGCATTGGTTTCTTATGTATTATTTCTCCTTTACAGGACAACGTTTCTGACATAGTTAAGGAGGGTGGTGTGCAACGATTGCAAGATGGAGATCTGATTGTTCAGGTGATATGCGTAACCCGGATGATCTGGTGCCCAATATCAAGCATTTGTATCCGCTTATGTGGATGGAAGAGTTTTAATCCAGTATGGATTGTTGCCAAATGCCGAATTCGAACACACAGTTCGGACTCCTACTAGGCGTTATTTCTCCTCGTGTCAAGCCCTTTTAGGGCAAACATTGGCTTCACCCGCTTTGTTTTGTCATTGCTAAGTTGACGCTTAGTTGCCCCGCTCATTTCTTCTCACTCGGTTGGTCGTCTTTCGGAGAATCCTACTGTATCTCAAAAGTTAGTGTTGTGTGGCGGATCTAATTTCTGATTACTATCCTAGAATATCAGATGCAGAGCTACGTCATTGATTAGGTGCCCAGTATCTGTTAAGTTACTTTAGATTTTCCCTCATACGAGTGTGCTGTTGCAGAGGTCTTTCTAAAGAGAAAGCACCATCGTACGTGTGCGGTGGTACTTTCTCTCGATCTTGCCCAACGATTCGTCTATTTCCTTTGAATTATCTTTGCTAGGATCTTACATGTAGTGCACGCGGGGACCTCATCTGAAGGATTTAGCCCACGGCTGAGAAAACTGAGATTCGCCTTCTATTTCGTCTTCCTGTTTCGTGACATGTGGTTTTGTTCCGCTTCTTACAGGCATCCAAGGACTGTGTACAAAAGACTCTCAAAAGGCTTGAGGAAAAGATCCACGGAAGGGTATGGTTCCTGATCTAAGAGTCTTTCCTCATGTGGGGAACGGGTTACTGTACAGCAGGCTTAGAAATCTGCATAAGGAGGTATCATGAATTTTTATTGCTCGAGCATAGGAAGCCTTGCAGTGAAGCTAAGTCTGTCAGCTTTACGTGTTCGAGGGTTCGTCTCAAATAAGAACCGTTGAACACTAAGCCGCACAAATGTTGCTTCACTTAGGGTGAGGTTCTTCTATTAGTATGAATGTGATCTTTCATATTTCGCTCCACCCTGAATCTTCTCAAACTACCGGTGGCCAGTCAATTGTCATTCTCGATAATGCATCTCTAGCTAAGCTGAGTTCTGGTCGAATGTCGCAGGTGCTGAAGCATCTGCTATATCTCATGAGATCTAACGAGAAAGTTGTACAACGGAGGGTCGCCTGTACTCTGGCTCATCTATGCACCCCAGATGACCAGCGGAGCATCTTCATTGAACATAATGGTACGAGTCGCGGCCTTCAGTGAGCATACGTTTCCAGGCCTAGCCTTAAGGAAGTCGAGCCTTTAGCAGTGGCAAGTATTGTGCAGCTGATATCCTGGTCGAACTATTCCAGATAGAGGCGTTTCGTATCGAAGATCGAAGTCTCTCTGGAGTTACGAAATGTATTTCTTGGCAGATTTGGAACAAGCTACTCGGGTCAATTGATACTCTGTTTTCTGTCTTCCAGGAATGGATGTTCTTTTAGAGATGCTACTTGCGTTTTCCTTACCGAAATTGCAACGAGATGGCGCGTTGGCCCTTCATAGACTAGCCACGAAGGCAAATAACTCTTCGCCTCTTGATACAACTCCACAACCTCCGACTCCTCAGGTGAGTTTGTTTGTCAACAATTTTTGTATTTTGTTTTTGTATATAGCCAGTTCTGTGTATAACATCTTTAGACATCTTTAGACAAATCAAAATCCTGTCGAAATAAAGGTTGAGTTTCATGACATTCACCACTAGGGTTATAGGACATAATTGTCAACAAGTTCTTGTTTTGATTTCAAACAAAGATAAAGCCAAATCCAGCTTTTTGACTTGGGCTAGTAACGTTACGGGACATAATTTTCCACAAGTTCTTGTTATGATTTCACACAAAGATAAAGCCATATCCAGCTTTTTGACTTGGGCTAGTAACGTTACGGGACATAATTTTCCACAAGTTCTTGTTATCATTTCACACAAAGATGAAGCCAAATCCAGCTTTTTGACTTGGGCTACTAAGCTTAGGGGACATAATTTTCCACAAGTTCTTGTTATGATTTCACACAAAGATGAAGCCAAATCCAGCTTTTTGACTTGGGCTACTAACCTTACGGGACATAATTTTCCACAATTTCTTGTTATGATTTCACACAAAGATAAAGCCAAATTCAGCTCTTTGCAAATGTTTTGACGAGCTCGCCAAAACATTTGCAAAAATTGTGGATCTCTATCCAATTCAAGAGTTATTTTATATTGATGCTAGCAAAAAGAAGCAAAAATCATATATTTTTGAGATTATGAAGTTTTTCTTGAATGAAAAATCTCCCCAAGTTCCTCAATTGTGTCCTCAACTCTCTTCCCTCTTAGTTACAAACACCAAGCAGAACAGAAGTTTTTCTCCTTGGTTATCCCAAGAGTTTCATGACTTCTGTGATCCCAGCTTGACACAGTCCATATGCTCTTGCTCTTATCATTCAAGGATAATGAATTGCATAGTATACTATGTGAATGACGTTGGATCCATCTATATCTTCAACCTTGATTACATCATTGTGGATCCAAACTGGATTACTATCTAGTAATCCGGGATAAGCCTTGTGATTCGTCGAACCAAACTTATAGCCGGTAAGTCCTTATTTTTCGGTGATGTTCGCGGTAGTTGTGCCGACTCTGTTCAGCGTCAAGCTCATAAACATTCACGTGCCCGCAATCTGTTGGTCTAGTTCTCAGCCATAAGAGAAACAATCGTGAATTTTAGCTCTCGTTTTCGGTGGTGTTCTTATTTTTCGGTGATGTTCGCGGTAGTTGTGCCGACTCTGTTCAGCGTCAAGCTCAGAAACATTCCTGTGCCCGCAATCTGTTGGTCTAGTTCTCAGCCATAAGAGACACAATCGTGAATTTTAGCTCTCGTTTTACGTGAGCTTAACACCATGATAGGCACTTCACTTTACCCTTCAGCTAACTCATGTCACCTTTTAGCAAATATTTTTTGCTGAGCTGTCTGTATTCAAGCAGAATGTAGCCGAGAAATCCAGATGAAGTACTTTCCAATGTGAACCCTTCTAGAGTTAAAACTCAAGACGTATTTAAGTTCAGTACGCTTTTCTAAACCAGGAATGTTTCGCTTTACTTATTGATTTTGCAGGTGTACTTGGGTGAGCAGTACGTCAACAATAATACACTCTCCGACGTGACATTCCTTGTCGAAGGTGTTGTTTCCCACTTTGTTTTTCGTGTGTTAAAGTATCTGGAAGCAACGAGTTGCAGTTCTTTACCTCCGAACACAAGTTTATTGCTGAATCCCATGTATTATTGTATGATCATGCATCGCAGGGAAACGGTTTTACGCTCACAGAATTGCTCTATTGGCCTCATCTGACGCATTCCGAGCTATGTTTGATGGTGGCTATAGGGTGTGTGTTATTCCTTCAACTATTTCCTTTCACCCACTGCCAGGGATGTGAAGGATATGGATACATAATCAGCATGTCTTGAAGCCAAGACAAGGCTTTGACCAATGGCAACTGAAACTGCGATACTGATGTTTGTTGATGGTTAATGTGTTTGCTTTGTCGTCCTTGTTGTAGTGACAGTTCTTGTCGTAGGGATAATTAAATGATCGTTTCTGATTTGAAAGGCTGTGGAAGGCACACTAGCCAGCAAATGGCGAGAAAACGGGGATAATTTGGGGGGGACCTACGGTCTGTTACAGACTTATTGTACCGAGGTGCTAGACTGTTCAACCTGTAGACGAATGATCCTCTCTCGCCTGTTTGAAGATAATCTATCTTGTGACGGTTTCTTGTAGGCTTCACTTTTCTTCAGTTTATTCCCGTTGTCGCTTCTCCTCAGCTTTGCGTTGCTTTCAAAAGTGCTCCCCAAAACATGGGCATAGCATTGCTATGCCCATGTTTTGAGGACACTTTTGACTTTGTTCGTGCTATTTTCTTCCATCTGTAGGACTTGTGTATCTTTTGTTCTGACGTCGTCCTTAATCTCTTTCATCTCGGTGGGAGTTCGTTATTGTATAAACTTGAGCTCAGTTGTCTCGATTCACAATACGAATCTCTTTAGGTGCTAGGAGCGTCAAAATTGTTAAATCTACGTACCCGATTATAGAGCCTTTGTTAGCCAGACCTGGATTAGAGTTGTGTAAATAGTCGTCAATCTGGTCAAGTTGCCTGGGTCTCATTCTTGTGATTGATGTTTGAGAATTTGCTCCAAATATTCACTAATATGTTCCGTACTTTCAATGCAACTTGCTGCAATTGAGAGCCCTCCTAACGCCGGCTAATTTTCTCAGGAAAAAGAGGCGAAGGACATCGAAATTCCAAACATAAGTTGGAAGGTGTTCGAACTTATGATGAGGTAATGGTTTTTTGGCGCCTCTGGAAAGGCAGACGTTATAGGAAAGAACTGGCTTGGCCTATATTTATATCTGTGTTCCTGTCAAAATGGTAGCAGTTGCCGTCCTAAGAAGGAAAATTCAGTTGGAGAGCATATGAGATGGAACCAGAAAATTGATTGAGCGTAGATGGATTCATTTGATTTATCTTTTTTGTAAAAGACTACACTCGAGGACCAAAATTCAGATCATTTAAGGCTGAGACGACTTTCACTGAATTTGACATTCTTTGAAGATCGTCAAAGAAGTGCGTATAGATTCATAATGACTTGGTTATGATGTGCTCGCAGGTGCATCTATACAGGTGCCGTTGAAGTCCTTACAGACGTGGCTCAGGATTTATTACGAGCCGCCGATCAATATTTGCTAGAAGGCCTCAAAAGGCTTTGCGAGTTAACTATAGCGAAGGTAATTGTCGAGGGCCGATACAGGGGATGGCGTCTAATTGTTTGGCTTGTGAAATACTTGAATCTCCGTTAGTCTATGCCTTTAAAGCAAAGTTTGTGATCGTAGATGGGTTTCATTGGGTATCAATCGATGTTGATCTCTGTGAAGCGTTACACCTTCCCGCTTTTTCAGACCTGAAAGATAAGCCCTTCTGTTATCTGGAGTGGTGTACAGGCTCTTGTGCACGATAACTTGGTAGCTATATGTTGCAGTTTACTAACTTCCTGACAATAATCACTGCAGGATCTTACTGTGGAGAACGTCGCGAACGTTTATGATCTGGCAGAAGCTTACCACGCAGTATCTCTACGACATACGTGCGTCTTGTTTATTTTGGAACAGCATGAACAGATGTGTAATCTGCCAGGGTACGGAATTTCATCGCTTTGTGAAGCGTTTTTCACGCGCAGCTTGAGTGCAGTTCGAGCTTTTTGTGACACGTGGGCGTGTTTTGGTATGTTCGACTTTTCACTAATAAATGTCTGTAAACGTTCATTGACAGATATCAAAACTTGATCGCGCGGATCATTCCGGAGATTCGCGACTATCTGCATCGAATTTTGAGACCACAGGACTATGTGCATCGAATTTTGAGACCACGGCCACACCCGTGCAGATCCTGTTGAAAACAATCCTAAATCAGGAAGTCCCGTATGCTGTCTGAACACTCTTAGTGGTCACATTTTTGCAATTGCTATTCTTTGGGGGCTCCAAGACCGCATGTGCATGAAGGAAATGTGAATGCAGGGTCCGAACCAAGCCACTGTCTGCTTCCGATGTGAGTTATGTGCAATTGGCATAAGATGTACTGAATTCTGGAATCAGCATCGAGAAATCATCTGAGGCCGCTTAGTCATCACTCCCTGTTGCTTCTCTTTCGGCAAGAGAGTTTCAGCTTCTGGATCCAGACATGCGATCCTGTGCGAGGTGCCTGAGACCGAATACATCGTGTCTCTGATGACGACACAAGCGGGAAGTGTTTGTACAGCGGAGGTGGTGGATTTCCATCTCAGTCCTCACTGTCTCTAGGTTGATTGTTGAGGAATTTATTCCTCTGGTGGTGTGAGGATTTTTAGTGGACTCTGCAGGTGAATTCTCTACCAAGCGGAAGCGGATTGGGATATGCCTGCCATAGCTGACCTGAGCTGATCGCGTCTTACCAGTCATTTTCCAGATGTGGAATATCCCAGATTGTCGGTCTTGGTAAAATATGGTTTCTGGCCCTAATATTGGTCGATGAGATCCAGATGTAAAAGTTGGTGTATTATAAGGACAGCTTCTTTAGGTAGCACAGCACTTCATGAAGAATTATGCAGTGTTAATGGTAGTCGGTGGTTGACGTCACTTGGAGTACATTCCGGAGAATGTCGGTAGCGTTTCTACAGTGAAAGTCATTGTTGGAGAAGTTGGAGAAGTGATTCTTGGCTAACCATTCAGTACCAGGTATCCGTGGATATCTCTACACCCTTTTCTCGATTTGGGAAAACTGTAGGGTTGTTTTGGAACCCCTTACAGTTAGAAGTCAGTGTAAGACTATCTGGACAATGTCGGGATGGTTCACAAAATTTTCTTTGCAAAGGGTGTACTCGAAGATCTTTGAGGTGGATTGGTTTTGAGCGGCAGTGTCGATGTTAGTGCTCGTAACAATTCGTGGTCCGTCATTACTGCCATCTTTACCTTCCGGGTGACTGCAACTTAAAACCTAGATCTACAATCTTGTCACTGAGGCTCCCCACGATGAGCAGCCGTATGGTGAAAACAAACTACCAAATCTGTTTTTCGGTGCCATCGGAAATCTGTGAGTCATTTGAAGTGCTCGAATGAAGGATTGCTTATTCCAAGCTTAAAGTTTACTTGTTACAATGTAATTAATATTGATACTACAACCGATGTTCCAAACCTTCTAGACGCCAGACCTTGAAATTCGTTCCCGTCCTAAACGTGTGCAGTTCTTTATTAGCAAATAATATTGCCCGGAAGCCATGTGGGTTTTGTGAGTTATGGACAATGGGTATTTGAACACCGCCGAATCAAAGGCAATGCACCGAAGGAACAGCATTTTTAAACTTAGTATTGTCGGATTGTCGTCCGACACGAATGCTGCCCATTGCTGCTCGAAGATGTTTGACTACTTCCGCCGGTCTCAAGTCTCTGGGCTGTTGAATAAGCACCAGTTGCAATGCCCACATCTGATCAAGCCTGACCTGGCTACCTGCTGGCAGGCGGCCTTGGACGTGCTGAGGAGTGAGGGTCCTTATCGGCAGCCATCTTGTCGACGTCAAGCTTTGACATCTGATTTGTAACGAGTTGTGATGCCCGGCTAATCAGAAACTGAGACAACGACTAAGGGGACAAATGGCCATGCTCACGTCCGATTAACAGGATAGCGAGACCACGAGGAAAACAAGTGAAACCCACCGAGCGACTGGATTGTTTGAAACGTGATCGGATCCTCCGGCACTGTGATTATGAATGACTTGTTTTTACGGGCCCAGCTATCATTGACGTTGCTAATCTGATAGGCTTTGCACATTTATATATATATATCTATCTATCTATATAGACATCGTATTTTTGAATACACTTTCGTTTTGATAAATCGACTAAAGACTTAATGGTCTATATGTGTTGTAAGGAGTGCCTCAGACAACAACCACTCCAGCATCAAACCTACCTGAGGAGTTTAAACAAATCGTTAGACTCCTACATTCTGTGGTTAAATATGGAGAAGAAATGACAAGTACAAGGCAATCTTTTTACAGGTTTCCTCACGACCAACATTTCAGTCTTAGCTACAACCGCTCACAAATCAACCATGGAAGTATCCCACCTACACATACAGCTGAGTTCACATATAACTCTAAAGAGCGAAATCCATTGAATAAATTAACAGTATCCTAAAAGGCTAACAGGTGTAGAAACATTTTGTTGCGAAAATTCACTACTATATACAAGAGAGATGATATGATCTTAGCAGCCTATTCAAATACCTCTACTTCAAGCTTTGTTTAATTATTTGCGCGTGATACCCCCACTAATCTGACAATGGAAGCGTGTAACATCCCAGTCTCATGTCTTAGAAAAAGCCGGGACTAAATGGCCGTGAGTGAGAGAGAGAGATAGGTCTGTACTTTGAAGGGTACTCTGCTCTGGCTGTACTTTTCCGCCACTACGTGAAATTGCATGGGATGATGAGAATGAAGTGAAGCTGGTGGCCTCAATCACATACAGCCCGGCGCACAGTCCACCGTGTCGGATGTGGATCTAGCCAGCTGCCCGGGGATTTTACCGGCGCCTTTTCAGCTTCCATCTATTTGACCCACCCAATGCTATACACGTGTCGAAGGCACATCTCCTCGTTGACACCCGGTCTAGTCCGTGTTCGTTTCTGAAGAATCGTCCCGTCCACCGGCCTCCACGCTGAAGAACCGGACAAAATAGGCGATGGTAGTCATATTAGATGGGCTCGCCCAAGTCTCGAAGTGGGGTCCACAGTGGTGGGTACGGATCAGATGGGGGGCCACGTCAACACTGCTGATTGTACAGTACACGTCGGACATACCTCGAAATCTCATACAACAGTAAAACCACGGTCATCAAGCTCGGCATCTACCGGCTCGATCGACCGCAGTTCCCATGAGATCGCAAAATATGCGACACGATGCCTGTGCTAACTGTGCTGATGCCCGGCGCAGTACGTGCAGCTGGGAACTCTGCTGACGTCCACTGCATGGGATTTGGCACGAACTGCCACAGTAGCGAGCGGATGTGGGCAGCGGGTCTACGGCTCTACAGCAGTAGGTACTCGCGGGAAACGTGGATCCAGCGGAGGGAGTAGGATACAGCGTTCACAAGACTCCCATAGGTGTTACGTCTTTTGGAATTCCGCAGTTCGAATACGTGTCATCCCAAACCGAGAATGTTATTCCGAATCATCATCATTCGGAATCTTAGCGACCAACGTTCCCTGAGATTCCTCGATATATCCAAAGTGAATATCCCTTCTTGTTTTGCGACAAATGTCCATTTTACTCCATCGCCTGTAACGCGATGGAGTATCTTGTGACTTGTAGGCTGACCGACCATTTGAACCCTGCTGGCATCGGACCAGCTCGAAGGCCGAAGGCGAAGGCGATGTGTATGAGGAAGGCTAAATATGAACTTTTGATGAAGTCACGTCGCGTCTGCAGGTTCAAGATTTGAGCGAGCGAGCGAGCGAGGGCAGCCCCACCCGATCGCACCCCGCCCGTAGAGGCTGCACGATGAGGAGTAACAGTTAAAGAGCGATGTGGAATACGGCGTACAGTCGAAGGAGATGCGCGGTTGGGCGGGAGGGCAGGCAGCGCAGAGCGGAGCAGACTTGCAGACCTGTTCATAGATGCGCCGGGAAGGAAGAGGACGAGGAGGAGCACACGGACAACCGATCGACGGGGAGAGCAAGCGGAGTGCTGTTGCGCAGTGCAGTGATGGATTGATGACGCCGCGCGGCAGCCCATACCAAGTGCCGAGTCCCTGCAGAGAGAATATAAGACCCGAGAGAAAGCGGCCTTGTCTCTACCGCGGCGTCTTTGTTTGACCCCCATCATTATATAATCCGTTTTTAACTCGAGGCCGTGCAGTGTTTTGACTCGCTTTCCGAAGGCGAAGAGAGAGAGAGAGAGAGAGAGAGAGAGAGTGGGAGTCGAGGAGGAGACGAGGCAGGGAAGTGCAGGGCAGACGCTTGGAAAAGGTAGGAATCTTTCTTGCCCCCGGCGGAGGAGCTCCGGTCCGTGTCCGTCGTTCTTGCCTGCTCGGGTGGGATTCGTAAGTGCTGTTTGCCTCCGCTGTTTCACGAGAATCTGCGCACTTTGCGCGTCTTGTGGCTGTCCGTGGGTGCGAGGAGAGGATTGGACTCCTGTGGAAAGTGGTTCCTTGCTGCCCGTTCAGCTTGGGGTGGTGTAAATTTTGTGAGGATAAAGAAGTGCCTACTTCTGCTGAAAGGCAGACTTTTTTCGAATTTCGCTGTTTCAAGATTGGAGTCGTGTGTGGTGTGGTTGTCGTGTGGTGGAGTTGCGGAGGTTCGAGTATGAAAGGATTTTGAAATCCGGGACAGTAATTTCGACATTTTGCAGGGCTTGGCGAGAGGAATTTCTCTTGAAAGGAAGGCTGCGATAGGCGAAAGAATTGGGAACGGTAGATAGGGGTTGCAGTTGAATTGAGATCGGAATTGTGAAGATGGATTGAGGTTGGAGGAAATCTGCGCACTCCCTCTACAAGATCGCCAGACCCAATTCAGGGAGGAGAGTGCAAAAGACAGTGGAATGGACGACACTCATATGAATGGAAGTGGCAATGGCAATGTGGTGCTGGACGAAGTTGTGGCGCCGGTGCCAGTGCCAGAGCTGGACGCCAATAGGAAAGTGACGGTTGGGGTTTGCGTGATGGAGAAAAAGGTCAGTGGCCTTGAACTTACAAGTGGTTGAATTCAATTGGCGTTTGCGAGGGAGAACGCAGTTTTAGTGTGTTCGAATGTGCGAACGCGCACTGATTTGCGTCATGCAGGCCTGGGCCTATTTGTCTGTTGACTAGTTTCTCAGTCATGGACATCTTCCCCCTTCCCTCCGTTTACTTTGTACGTGAACATTATCCAGTGATTTGCTAGGATGGTCCGAAGTCGTACTTTCACTGAGCCTGAAGCTTTGAAAACTTCAGTCGAGTTGTTCGAAGTTTCTTTCTTGTACGGATTTCAAATTTACCATCAATTATGCAGCGTGGTACGTACAGCTTTGGTCCAAGTATGCTCGCACGAAAGTGTATAAACACGACACGTGTCCTACGAAGGAATGCAAGATCGCGTATCTTTGAAAGTTAACATGGTTTGAGAACGAGTATCATATGGATATGTGTGGAGTCTGTTGAAATTTAGTGATTACACTGATGATGCTTGGAGCAAATTTTCCTACCAAGAGAGCCGCGTCCTTAACTTTTTCTTACCATGTCGATTTTTTGATTTGAGACTAGAGCAATTCGTGTCGAACACCTTGATCCAAATCATTCTTCCCACAAAATATCTTTCACGCTCTCCGTCGTTTGAACGTGAGCAGCTTGAGTTGTTGGGTCGTTCTTCTTATTGGAATTGAGCCGACTTCAATGTTAGCAATGTCCATGACGATGTTCCATTATTGGTCTCCTTAGTGCAGGAACACTAGTGTGTTGTTCGACAAGGCCTTGTCTTTAGTGGCGTTGTTTTCGTTTTTCATAGCGCTGGTAATCTTGTTTCCTGTGGACAGGCTCTTTCACCGCCCATGACTGAAATTTTGAATCGGCTCCAAGCTTTTGGAGAATTTGAGGTTCTACTCATATTGCACTACCCGCTTCTCCGTAGTTGTTGCTGACAGTTATCCTTTTTAGTAATTGCGAGACGCACATTGCTGTTTTTAATTTATTGAATTTCGATCTGCGATCTTATCAAGGCAATTCGTCATTCAAACTCTTGCGTGTGGTTTGCGGTTACATGTAGATCATTCTATTTGGTGACAAAGTCATCCTCGAAGATCCCGTTGAAAGGTTAATTTTCATCTACTCTTGCTTTCTGCATAATGAACACATGGAATAGCTCATCTCAAATGTTCTTATTTATTTCATTTTAGTTTTTTTATGAATGTCGTGTTGTCTTATTATGTAACTCAGCTTTCTAGCATGCATTGCTAAAAATCCGCTCGTTGTTTCTAAAGAAACGATGTTCTGGCCGCTGAAATACTTTCTCTTGGTTGTGTGTTACGCAGCTGGCCTATATGTGAATGCCTGATTGCCTTTTACTCATCCGGCTATCCACTTGAAAAGGCGGAAGCCTATGCAGAGCTCCGAAAGTTAGTATCTACCACACTTTTTGCACCGATCTGTATTGATTCTGTCTAATTCATCCAGGTGAAATGTTGTAATTGGAATGTAGTTGTGTAATCGACAGTTCACCACAAGAGTAAACTCTTGTGGTAAAATGCTGGATTCATTTCTGGATTCAGGACAACACGAGCGTGATCCATCTATTTTAAAGCTGAACTCTTCCATGCAATGCTCTTTCCGAAGAATACAAAATTAATCAGTTTACTTCCGTACGGAGGAGAATGGGAGTCAAGCTCTAATATGTTTTTGCAATTGTCTGCAGACCGTTTCTCGTAAACGAACTTCAGTCTCAGCACCTTCTTCATGACCGGCGAAAGGTTTACACGGTAAGCTAGTTATCGTTGTGAGATACTTTTAAAGGTCATTGTTCTTCTGAAGCTCAGTCTGGCTTTCATTTATATCCGCTTTGTAGGTAAGTCTTTCGCGTTCAGTTTTTATTACCGGCAGTAACTTATAGTCTTCATGGGTCTATCGCTTCCGTTACACTGCTCTTGGCTCATCTGAGTCGTGAGGAGCACTGCTCTTACATTAAGAGTTTCGAATCTTCGCTGACCTGATTTAATACTGTCGCATGTTGAAGCGTTTGGAAGAATGTGGGATTCCAATCCCTACATATGCGTTGGTTAATCGTGATCATCCAGACCAGGAGTTGGATTACTTTACTGAGGAAGAGGACTATGTTGAAGTCCAAGGGAAACGGATATCGAAACCATTTGTCGAGAAGCCTGTGGATGGTGAGCATCGACTAAACATGCTGGTTCTAAGCTTGCTTGTCGTAGCTGGTGAATCCAAGCGGTGTGATAAGTCATATATAAAAGCACTATCGGGTTTGAAAGCATGCGATTTTCCTTCATAAATCTATATCGGGATTGCAGAAATTTAGGTGAGAATCACCTGTCGGGTGAATCCTGTAACAATATTCGCATCAATTTTAACCTGGTACTAACCTGCATATCTTGGGCGGGCAGGAGATAATCACCGGGTTATGATATATTACCCTAGCTCAGCTGGTGGAGGGATGAAGGAACTTTTTCGCAAGGTAGGGAGATATGGCCGTATATTGATGTTTCCAAGTTCATAACTCCTATCTCCTGGGATTGTGGACATGGCCGAGCGTCTGGTGCTTTCTGATCTTTACATTGCCTGATTAGCGTATGCTGTCGGTTTTTACATGTCAAGAAGGTCACTTATGTCTTTCCTTGGGTACCATAGGTGGGAAATCGCTCAAGTGAGTTTCACCCTGATAAGCGAAGAGTACGGAGAGAAGGATCCTACATTTACGAAGAGTTTATGCCAACTGGTGGAACGGATGTCAAGGTAGGAGTTTCCTGACAAATCCTCGTTTGCGTCCGGGCTGATTTTCATGTCTCATAATTTCACTGGCTTTGTAGGAATTATAGCACTTGTTGGTATTTGACAATGACCTGAAATCGAGCAAGTTCTTGTTCTCTCGTGAAACTCTCAACATTTGAAGTCTTTACATTCCAACTTTAAAGTGTTTGGTGAGTAGTGTGTACCCATTCGATCTTGATCTTTATCATTTAGGCGAGAACAGCCAAGAGGGAAGTTACGCGAATGGAGTATGTATAGAAGGGGTTGAAGCTTGGCAGGGAGCTACTATAAAACTTCAATGAGGATGACACTCACTTATCAGCTCAAAATCTAGTTTTGTTTTATTATTTCAACGCAGTACCAATTTGACCGGCAAGAGTATCGATAACGCCGTAACTTGGGTATTTTAGAAGAAAGTAGTTGTTAAGTGTGAAATATATCTTCAAGTGTTGGGAAAAACCCAGACCTTCAGTTGCACTTCACACAACACTACATGACCTTGTTTAGAAGCTGCAGTCTCAGGATGGTATACCAGGATCATTCAAGGAGCTGGGTCGGAAGCAGTATAGCTGAGAACCGTGGGCATTGCGGTTTCAGCACCCACACTGTCGGTCTGGGTAGGAATAAGATCCGAATTCGTACTGTCTTCTCTTCAAGTTAGTTGGCACATCGCCGATCAGAACTGGAATAGAAGGTTGCACCATAAGCGAAAGCATATGGTGCAACCGTCACCTTACGGTTTTATTGAACCCTAAGTGGAGTAGTAGAATGTAAGATAAATATTCAGGTAGCCAGGTAGAACCAAGTGCTGAATATAGTGTTGCCCCAGAACTAAGTGGAGTAGTAGAATGTAAGATAAATATTCAGGTAGCCAGGTAGAACCAAGTGCTGAATATAGTGTTGACCCAGAACTACCACGGGTACCTTCTGTAAGAAGAGATAGGGCCCTTTAGAGCTTTATTTTGGGAAGCGATAACTGGGTTGACAAAGAAATAGAGAAGGGAGGATGCGAGTCATCTATATGACGTCTACCTGTCCACGATATACCCTGAACTCGTGGTCTCTATTAAAATCTAAGGGATTTTCTTGCTCACAAGACTGACATTTTATGGACCGGATGGTAGTCATCTCTCTCAACTACAAGGAGAGCAAGCTGGGAAATCACCCCTCCACTTGACCACACCAGCTTATAGGACGAAACCACCGTGATCTGTTACATGCATGTATTTCACAGGGTTCGAAGATGGAATTTTCTGATTTTTACGAATGAAATAGTTGGTGGATAAGCTAACGCTTGGAATTTTTTGTTTTATACTTGGAACTTCCCTACGAGTTTTAATTATGGAGTATTCCTTCTACGAGAAAAACCGTCTGTACTTTCAGGATCTCACTTTCGCCCCCACTTTCATCCCATCATACTTCTTCCCAGTCTGCCACTAATTCCACCGCTCAGGCAGGGCTTGGGGTCTATGGTCTTCATGCTATCACAGACAGACGAATACTTCGGAGTGACAGTTTCACAACTATTGAGGATATTAAACATTTCGTTAGTGTGTATCATAAGTCGGTTATTAGAAACTGACCCGTGTCAAAGAGATTTCCAAGAACTTATATAGAAATGGACCCTTAGCTTTGCAGAGCTGTCAAGTCAATCAAACAAACTCAGGGTTTAAATCAAGATGAGTACTGTCGCTATGTAAGGTTCAGCATGATAGCTTGTGTGAGAAAACACTAGATTCTATTCTCATTCCAGTAGCTCATACCTCGATAATAAGGGACTTTGGGCCTCTGTCAAATCCAGTATTGTGTGAGATTCTTTCTCAGTTACAACCGTGAATGAATGAATGTCATATCAGAAACCCTACGTATATAAGCCAAAAACTGTTAAGATTGGGTTACATTAGAAACCCCAATCTTCAAACTTTTGTTCGCGTATTTCGAGGGCCGGCCAGTAGAAGGATGAGATAATTTGGAGACCTTTAGAAGTCTACTTATGACGGTTTTTCGGTAATTGTAGCTAATTCTTGGATTGCGAATAACCTGTCTACACCCGCATTCAGGTTTACACAGTTGGTCCTGAATATGCTCATGCCGAGGCACGTAAAAGTCCTGTGGTTGATGGGGTGGTGATGCGAAGCGCAGATGGAAAAGAGGTATGTAGACTGTTGTGCTATTTGACAAAACAAGTTCCAGCTTGAAACGTATTTTCTTTAAAAAAATGCTTGAAGGTTCAATGGTCGATGTTATTGTTGTTTGAGGCAGCAATTGTAGACATGGATGTGCATCAATCCGTTGAGTACTTTCTGATGTGAGCTTTTGAGGGTAGACTGTAAATGACAGTTGTTGCCGATCTCTTCTGCCATGAATTCTTTTTGCCCACTTCGCATAGGTAGAATCAACGGTTGCTAGGAAGCGTAATAGCTTCTTCAGTCCGGCTCCTCTCATTTCTTTGGTGGATTTTTTCTCCTGTTGGGGATGCAGGTGAGGTACCCAGTGTTGTTGACACCCGCAGAGAAGCAAATGGCTCGAGAAGTTTGTGTTGCTTTTGGTCAAGGAGTAAGTCCCGGCATCACGGATTTTTATGGAATGACGCTTTCAAGAATTTCTTTTGCCTAACTTTGGAATTTGAAGATTCAACTGTGTATTATAGATTGTAGGCATATTCCACGTTGCTGCTTTTAAGGTTCCTCGCATTTTTTTATGCAGACTGTGAATAGGAAGTTAGATTTAAGCCCATCATGTATGAACTTGAAATTTATAAGGCAGCAGTATAGTACATATATTTTGCCCCATCAGAGGGAAGATTTATTTTGAGGTGTGCTCTATCTGAGTTCTTCATGATTGATACACTTAGACGTTCTAGTTGAGAACCTTTATGAACTGCGAATCGTCATGCTGTGTCTTATGTTCTCTCGACTTATTTCTTGACTTTACCATGCTGTCGTTTGACAGGTTTGTGGATTTGATCTTCTCAGATCTCAAGGGCGGTCTTATGTTTGTGATGTGAATGGCTGGAGCTTTGTTAAAAACTCTTACAAGTATGAATTTGGAACCTTATGTATCTATGAATCCCAAGTCACTGAGGTCGGAATGTAGCACATTATATGAGTGTTCAGTTAAACAAAAACTGGAGATCTGAAAATGAATGACAATCCCTTTTCCCACAATGAAATCATTGTTGCAGACCTTCCTTGACACCTGACGCTTGTACGTAATCTGATTGTTTATATGTCGGAGCAGGTACTACGATGACGCAGCATGTGTTTTAAGGACTATGTTTCTAGAAGCAAAGGCACCCCACCTTTCTTCGCAGCTACCTCCACGCCTCCCGTGGAGTACTGATGCTGCCCAGGCTAGCCTTGATGATGGTATATCCAGACAAGGAAGCAACATCACTGGAACTTTTGGGCAATCGGAGGAGCTCCGCTGTGTCATTGCAGTCCTTCGTCAGTACGTATCTGAATCTTTTCTGTTTTCTTCTTTGGTCTGGAATTAGTAGCCCTTACAGAAACTGCCCGATACTACGTTGTCTATGTTTTGAAGGGAGCTTTCCACAAGTTAGGGAGTTGTTCGGTCCTTACCGATCGTGAGTTCTGTCGCTTGATCTCCAAAGCATGAAGCGTGTAAAGCATTTATGATCATATTCTTGAAAATTCTAGTTCGAGGTTAAGAATATTTGACCTCTTCTTGACTGTCCACAGTGGAGATCGTACTCCAAAGCAAAAGGTCAAGATGAAAGTTACCCACGACAGGTTGCTCAATCTGATGCTGAAGTACAACGGTGGAAGACCAAGAGCCGAGGTAACAAATATTTCTGATAGAGACACTTCGAAACGGGCTGATTGTAGACTTCTACATAAACGTCGTTACGTTTTAGCTCAAAACGGTAGTGGTGTAGGCAGACAAGGTGTATATTCAAGGCATCTTGCATATTTAGGCAGAACGGTTAGAATATTACTTCACACGGATGTTGAAAGTTTCAATCCCTCACGGTGAAAGAAGTTACATGGTTTATGTAGTAGATGCCTACAACACAACGCGCGTATTTAATGTACATTATCTTTTGGAGATGTTAGGACTTGTGTTCTGCACGTTGGACGAACAAAAAAGAGATTGCCGAGTTCTAGAGAAAATATGAAACAGGGCAACCGGGGGAGTTTAGTGTGGAGAAAGGGATAAGTTTTAATGGAAATATGGTAAAAATAGAACTCAGAGCAAATTCTGTCGTTCAGTTAAGGTCTCGTTGGCCTTTTGTTGTCATCAGCCTGTTTCAAAGAAATCAGTGTTCATCCTCTAAGCGGACTGCTTCTTTGCGTCTTCGTTGAACTTCATGTACTCTACGTGAATCTTCCAATTTTCAACAACGATAGAAGTTTGTTTGCTGACTAAGCTCCAACATATATCAGCTTTTTAATCAGCTTATATTTGCAAGAGATCACGTAAGCTCATAAAGCTGTACGTCTGTCAACGTATGTATCCGTTCTTTTTCATATTTCCGGGTTTGGACTACTGATAATCATAATATTAAGCATCTATTCTTGGAACCTTATCGTAGGCCAAGTTGAAAAGTGCCGTACAATTGCAAGATCTATTGGATGCAACTCGGATGCTCGTACCGCGGTCAAGGTACCTCCGATTCTTTGAAGCCAACATTGTGAACTTTTTCAAACTACTAGCTGAGTATCGGAAAGTATCCTGTCCAGATTTCACGATTGTTTATCAAATATTGTGAATGTACGGATACGGATTTCGACTCATGTGACATGTGTGAGACAGGTCTGGGAAAGAAAGTGATAGCGAGGCAGAAGATCTAGAGCATGCTGAAAAGCTTCGTCATGTCAAAGCAGTCTTGGAGGAGGTCAGTGTTTCATGACACCTGTGTAAAGGAGGAATTTCATTTCTTGCAATACTTGTAGTTTGGTGCGAACTCGAAGCTTGAAGCTTGGGTTTCTCACTTGTTATTAAATAGAGATCATGGACTAGAGTAACTGTGTTTCTCTTAGTTCTCTGTAAGTTTTCTAATAAGTTCTGCAAAATTTGTTCTGCTATCGTTGTCAGAAGTAGCATCTGGAAGGGGAGAATAGCTGAATCATTGCTGGTTGATTTATTCGTGAATCAGGGTGGCCATTTTTCTGGTATCTATCGAAAAGTACAGTTAAAACCTCAAAAGTGGGCTAAAGTTCTACGAGAAGACGTTGAAACTGAAGAAGAACGCCCTACTGAAGCTTTGATGGTGCTGAAGTACGGTGGTGTTCTAACTCACGCAGGTGGCAAGCAGGTTTGTCCTCAACCGCAAGGTGGATGATGTTTTGAGATTGACCTTCTTTTTCCACATCGAGAAGACACTGAGTTGGACGTTTCCCTCAATATGGTTCACCATCTATTCACCCTTCTAACCTGTTGGACGTATATGTCAATTCGAGAGATACAGTTGGAACTGGAACATTTTAGTTTCGGTCTTTTGAGAACCAATTGTTGGTGCTGTTGTTGACAGGCGGAGGAACTGGGAAGAACATTCAGAAATGACATGTATCCAGGTAAGCTGTGGATCTCTGTCCAAGCCACGGCTTTGAATCACTTAAGCTAAGATTTCTGCTATGCATAAAAGTTATTCGGTGCGTGTTCTCTCCTGTCACAATTGTTTATGTCGTACTTCATTAACGTAAGCATCAACTTGCTCATCAACAGGCATGAATTCTATATTTCTAAGCGGGCTTGTTTGAATGTATATAATGACTTGAATTTTCCTTCTGGAGTGCAGGCGAAGGCACAGGTCTTCTCCGTCTTCACAGTACTTATAGGCACGATTTGAAGATCTACAGTTCTGACGAGGGTCGAGTGCAGGTACGAATATGATCAGCGGCTCATGAGAAATACTGGTTACCAAATTGAGTTTAAATAATCCCTCTTAGTGTGTGTAACAATTCTGACAAAACTTTCTGTCTATGCGTTAGATGTCAGCAGCCGCATTTGCAAAAGGATTACTGGATTTAGAAGGTCAACTGACTCCAATTTTGGTAAGCGATAACCTGAACTTTTGCTAGGTTGTATGTGGACATTTTTATCTGACGGCTGGATTGGGAGTTTCTACGCTGAACTGTGGAACGATTGACCATGTCCTCAAAATATTCGCCGGGGTTCCCAGTTCAATGAAGGCTTATGTTTCCTCGACCTCACTATTGCAGGTTTCCCTCGTAAGCAAGGATTCACCTATGCTTGACGGGCTGGATACTGCTAGCATCGAGATGAAGGAGGCGAAGGTGAGCGACAAAATTAAATATAGTGGATTCTGTTGCAGGACAGCCAAACACGAATCTAGAGGCAGGGACTGTAAATCATCTCATTTGCTTGATACGATTACACTCTTCTGTTGAGTTTTCACTATACACATCTGTACTCATTTCCCGTGCGAGTGATATGGATACTGAAGCTCAGCAAAGACAACGCTTTAAGTATTTAGGTTGTGTGATCTCAGGGTAGGTTGAACCAAATTGTGACAACCGAATCGGATGCACTTCCGAAACCAGCAAAGCCAGAAACACCGTGGATGGTTGATGGAGGAGGACTTCCTCCGAATCCCATGGATCTGATCAGACAACTGGTAAGTGAATATATGGTGAATAGCGCGGGGATCATTTCTGTCGAGTGCTGTTTGTTGACGTCACTGAGAGTTGAGCATTTGAAGGTAGTTCCTACCGGGCTGATTTGGTAATTAACTTACTGAGATCTAATATACTTTTGAGGCTGTGATCTATTTTCCTCTTAGGTCGAATTGACAAAAGCTGTAACAGCACAAGTAAAACTACTGTGCAAAGCCGAGGAAGAACGTTTGGCTGAACGGTTAAAAGAAACACCATCAGATGAACTACCTCCTTACGACCAAGCTCGTGCTCTTGGGAAGACAAATATGGATGTAGATCGTATTGCTGCTGGATTACCGTGCGGCAGTGAAGGGTTCCTTCTCATGTTTGCCCGGTGGAAGAAGCTTGAACGAGATGTATTTAATGAACGTAAAAGGTAGGGTTGAGAATGGCATATTGATGTATCTTGATGCAACCTCGTTTTATCTCCAGTTATTATGGTCAAATCAGCAATGAATTACAAAGTACATGGAAATATTTCTGGGGGCAGGTCAGGTGATTGATGAAAGTTGATTTTGTGGTTGCAGTCGTTACGACATCAGCAAAGTTCCAGATATCTATGACTCTGTGAAGTAAGCTCTCCTTAGAATCCATAAGCCTGTAGAACTTTTCTAGTTTGCTTTATTGAAATTCAACAGACTTTTCGTGCAAATAACAGTGATTGATCCTCTTTATGGCTATTTTCTGTTACATGTACAGGTATGATCTCATACACAATGCTCATTTAGCACTGGAGAAGCTGGAAGAATTGTATGGAGTTGCAAAGGTATGAGTAACTGATTGGAGTGAAAGGAATATCTGCACTTTCGTTGACTTGTCGAGTCACACCATACTTGAGCATGACGTTGTAACAAAGTCTTTTTTCGGTGTTTTCACAGGAGCTGGCAGACGGAATCATTCCCGCAGAATATGGAATAAATCCCAAGCATAAACTCATCATTGGATCTAAGGTGTGTATTTTTGTGTGGAGTCGAAGCAGTAATATGATATGTTATCGGTTAGAAACCTTGGCTCTTTGTCTCCTCACACTGTCTCAGTGACATGTTGAAAGAGCGTAGGTAGGAGATAGAAAAGCTGGTTTATCGACTCCCTTCTGCTATTAATTCACGTACACTCATGTGGATTTTTCTTTAAAGATTGCACGTCGTCTGATGGGAAAGATCCTAATCGATCTCCGTAATACTCGAGAAGAAGCGAGGAATGTAGCTGAACTGAGGCACAGCCAATACGCGGCTAAGATGGGTTCACGATCAAGGGCACAAAAGCAGCAGGACGCTGGAGCCGAAGCGAATGGGAAAGCAAAGACTAGCAACGAAGGGTCGCGTGGACATTGTTCTGTACCCGAGAAGCTCTCGCCACTGGACAAAGATCTCACCGATGACGATGAAGAGAAAGAAACAAGCTACCGACTGGATCCGAAGTATGAGTTGTTTGCAGCTCCTGAATTCTTGTTTGAAGTCTTTCCAGAATGAATAGAAGTTTACGTGCTTTAGACGAAATAAGAATCATTACCATCTCCATTAAAATAAGTACCGACTATAGGTGTAGTTGTCGAAAGAAGCTCATGGGCACTTCATGAGTTCAAAACGTGCCTGACAAACAGGTCACGGGCTCTTAAGAAAATACTTTGCTTAGGGGTGTGTATAACATTGCTTGGCGAAGGTAAAGAAAAGATGCAAGGCATTTCTGTGGGCAAAAAAAAAACTTCTGTAAATAGAAGCTCAGGCCCCTCACGAACTTCTTAAGGCAGTTAACTTATGTGGAGATATGGAAGATAAAGTGGGTTATGTGGGTTTAGAAGAGACGAATTTTCATGCCTATGGCGTCGGAAGATTCTGCGTTTTTAAACTGGCTTCGGATCTCTCGCTTTCCTTTATTGTATTGTATGTGTAATTATACTGTATCCAGGTAATTTATACCAAGATGACTGTCGTAGTGGGAAATACAATCTACAAAAGTTGTAGGCTGTAACTTCAAATTGCCAGTTGAAACTGGCGATTTGTCTGCAGATAAGAAAACCCATACGTGGACTGTCTAATATGGTTGTGAAGTAAATCTTCATTTTTAAGTAGAAAGGGATATACATGGCTGCGTGGATGGACTATTATTCAGCAAATGATGTGGTCAGTTTATCATGTCTCATTCATGCTCAACTTAATGGCTGCAGGTATGCAAATGTGAGGACACCGGAAAGGCATGTTCGTACTCGGCTTTACTTTACTTCGGTAAGCCGTCAATCTAGTGTCGCGGTGTTTGGTATCTTGTAGCAACTTGACCGTTTACTGTGAAGCTTGCAATACTGACCGTTTTAAGCTTTCAAATCTTCCTAGCCCCGTAGTCTCAGTGAATCTGCTGATGTAATATCTTTGAAGGAGGAACTTTTCCTATATCGCATCTTAAACGGGAAAATATCTGTTGTGCGGACTACATGATCCGCTTTCATAATCATTTTTCAGAATATGAACTTTCAACGGACTAGTGAAATGGTTGTTTGCCCTTCTTGCTGGTGCTTTGTTTCAAACAGGAATCACATATACATGCTTTGATCAACGTGCTACGTTACTGTTACTTGGACGACACACTGTGCGGGGAAAGCAGTCTTGTTTCTGATGAGGCATTACAACGCCTTTTTCAAGTCAAGGAACTTGATTATCTAACGCATGTTGTCCTACGCATGTACGAGAACACAGCGGTATGTTAGGCTTTTTCCCCATACACAAAGCGAGTTAGTATGTCTTCATGATAAATTTGCATGCGGAGCTAGACGTAATATTGACCAGCAGTAGAAACTTGTTCTTCGGTGTATAGGTTCCGTTGGAGGACTCCAAAAGATTCAGAATTGAGTTGATGTTCAGCAGTGGAGCTGCTCTGAGCCCGTTGCAGGTATGATATTATTGATCCTCTTACTCTATCTGTTCGTTACTGAATATTTATACCAAATACTGGGCACAATCAAATGTACGGTTGATCGTTGACAACTTGCTGATGATGTGTCTACATTACTAACGAACATTTTTCCTTGACAGACGTTACTTTTTGTTGATATTAATGAGACGAAACCATCGCTAACACTTTAAATTTTCATTTTCCATTGTACACAGCTTTTTGAACCATTTTTTTTATTCATATGTGTTGGTGTTGTTCTCTTTCTATATTCTAATAATGCGGCTACTAATTTAAAGCGTAAGGAGTGCTCCCCTCTTACCGTGAAGTCGGTGTTGTCGGTTACCTCGTAGGTTTCTCCTCGCAACCGCGATCACACGCTTCCAGTGCTTCCTCCAGAAACTCTTCAAGAGGATGGATCTTATGTCACCTTCGACAGGTTGGAGAAGATGGTCCGGCCGTTTGCCATGCCTGCAGAAGATTTTCCACCTGCAACCACTCCACAGGGTTTCACAGGACTTTTTTCAAAAGGTGGAGGATTTGTAGAGCGTATTGTCAACCTCTTTGCTTTCAATAAGCATCATGTGAATGGAAAGCCTTGAAGTGACTTGTGTATATTCTACCTCTTCTGGTGAGATAGGCGTGACCTGCCTACTTCTGAGGAATTCTTTCAATCACTTTTCTAAACCAAACAAGACACTTCACGGAGAGATTTGCAGTCCATTCTTGACGAACATCGAAACGATTACCATCATATTAGTAGTGAGGATTGCCTCACAGCTGTTACCATTCATCAATAGTGGCTGTGGTTGGCCTTGTAGCTGGTCAAGGCGTCATTGCCATGTACCAGCTTCGGCAGTTTTCACCTCGTTGAGGCGGTAGATCGGACATTTTTGTTTGAGTGTAAGCGAGGCGGGACTCAGAATGGTAGTGACAATACATCCCTATACATATCGATGTATACATACTGTGTATCATAGCTTTAGAAAACTGATGAAAAAATCCCACATTCTGGACAATGAAATTACAGACTTCGCATTGGAAGGTGCAACTCAATTGCTGAGAAATTATCGAATCTTTTTCTTTACCTTCCTCTTGTTTCGACGTGTCTTCATCCCTCCTGCATAGATCAAACACAAATCATCAACGTATTGTAACTTTGTGCACAGTGAGGATACTGTGTCTCCTATGTTTGTATTCCTGAGTGCTCCTGAACCTCTTTGGGTTCGCGAGGATATCATATCTGGAAATTTGTAAGTGGCAAGCACGCACACCTCAGATGCCTTAAGTTGATAGTCTTATTGATGGAGAACTTGTGAGTAAACGAGGTGCTTTCTCGGACTAAAGTCGGCGAGGACATCCCACTCCTGATCCTAGTTCATTTACATCTGCGACTTGTTAGAGCTTGAACGACTTGCTATGTTTCCCTAAAGTATATGATAACATGAAGTGAGTTTCAACCTTGATACATTCAAATATCCAGAAAACCAGCAACATAGAGAGGTAAGTGGGTCAAATCTGGGCTTGTACTATGAAGGTTATTTCGTATCTCTGGTTTGAGACTGGGGAAGTTTTTTGTATAGAATGCACTCTCTGAGTTCTACTGAAACTGTACACATATTTAGAAGGTGATTGGTAACCACTTGCCTTTCGTTTCGGCCATGATCGGTGATGTGTGGTGTGATGGTTTGATCATGTTGAGAGGGTTGTCACTCCTTCCTGCTGGCATCAAGCTTCTTCTCTCTTCTCATGCTTGGATGGTTGCAGGTCGAACTACCGCACAACACGTGTTGAGTTGCGCACAGTCTCATTCAGCCAAAGAACACATACAGCACCTTCGCAACACCATCAAGCAAGGGAAGAAGAGAAATTCTCGCTGAGCACTTGACACCGCGTCTGTCGTCCACATCTGTACTGTCTAATTTTCCGAGCTCCTGAGTCGCTCAGCATGGTTACAGGCAAACATTAATCACGTCTGCCAGCAGCTGTTTGCTTCTCGATTCAATCCCAATGCGGACTGCTTCCCTTTGTTGCCTTTCTTGAGTTTTGAGTAGACCTGATAGAAAGTAGGGTAGGTAGAGGGCTATCAGAGCTTTTGCGATTGCAAGAGTAGTTGCAAAGCGGGGAAATTGTTCCCGTCCCTCATAGGAATAGTAATCAATAGTAGAGTGTTTGAGCGGCAAGGAATCAAGAGTATCGCCGTGGGAGGATAAAGTGCCGAAGCATCTTCCGGTGAAGTAGATTTCCTTAGGAATCTACGTTCTGAACGTCCTTGTCAACAGGATTCCCGTTTTGATGCTTAGAATCCCGTGATTATTCCAAGATTCAGGAACTGTCGGAACTCTTTGTGTCGTTCCTGTCTGTTCCTGTCCTCAGGAGGTAGATTATGCTGGCCCTGCAGGATTTGTCCGCGGCCATCAATTGGATGAGTCTGGTCACTTGCGCTGTTTAGGGAATTCGTCACTCAAGTCAATGTGGGAGTGGTTTAGATTTAAAGCAAGTTATCACGGCTGAAATAAAAATTGGGTCTACAGTTGGAAAAGAATTCCTATTCTTCAACGCAGCCGCCGTCACGTCTGTGCGAACATTGTATGACCACTAAGGTACGTGGAGATTTTGATTATTCTAGAAGCCCTGAAAGTGCAGTCATAGGGTCTCATAGGTACGGCTTTTTCTGAATTGTATCTTTAAGTGTCAAACCGTTCTCTGATCTTGCTGACTTTGAGAAAATGATTTCATTCCTTTTAGATTTTTTACGTTAGCGGACGAATATAAGATTCACCACATCTTCCGAGTTTGATACCCTAGTTTAAAATCTTATGTCTTAATTGCGTTTTTATATGCATTCTCGGAATCTGATTCGGGAATAATTATTACTGCCCTGGCCTGCCAGCCATTGACGTGTAGAGTTAATGTTCTTCTGGCTAGTCATGTAACTGCGTGGTTCTTGATAGAATCACAGTCCACAATACGTGTCACGATCTGGGAGGATGTAGAGTCCATTTGGACACATGTGTTTGATTCCCAGCAGGAGCATTGAGGTCATTCGAAAGTGTAATCAGCACATTCGACATAATATTCTAGTAAGCTACGCTCTCTGACGTCTGGTTTGGACTTTGGATCCGTGGATTGATACTGGGTCCAATTGGCCCATATGGTAATGTGGCTGCATGTATTGGAGTACCATGCAGCCACATTACCGATTTGACCAATCTGTACATGTCTTGCCCTCTGGCCGAATATCACATCTATCATCTTTTTGTTTCTTATCAAACGCGGTCGATTGAGAAAGAGAATCAAGCAGCCACTTAATTTAAAGGCAGAGCAAGTTTTCAATCCAAAACCCAGAGGGTCATGCTTTACATCTCGTACATCCATTTGATCAAGATTTTCACATGGTGCGAGCATTGCCGTACAACGCTCAAGATTCTGGTATGATCAGCCTGTGCCTGATTTCTTTTGCAAACGTATATACTGGTGGCCATGCCTGCGCTTCTGTTGAAGTCTATTGAGAAGACGAGTTCTGTTTGAGTTTGACAATCGATTGTGTATGGTTCAGACTTGCAGTTAAATCTCTTCATGACATTGCATCCATCCAGTTGTGAACTAGTGTTACGACGATTTGGTACAGCTTCTTCTATCAATGCTTACAATTGAACGTGAACATCTTCGTCCGTTCAAAGTGCAAGCTAGAGGTTGAATAAGATTGATATATCAAAAATGGAACATTCATATTGAGAATGCAAACATTATATCGATCTTCAATTTTTTCTGTTTCCTTTGTTACTTCGTTCCGCTCCGCCAGTGGAGGTATTGCAAGGCCCATTACGCAAGGTAAAGGTGTTTACTTTAATCCTGTAGTCAAGTGCACAGTATCCCAATCTAACGTACCACAGACATGTATATCAGATATAACCAGGCCTCTACCACAGACATGTATATCAGATATAACCAGGCCTTTGTACATTAGGCATTCTAAAAATAGATGCCTAATATCTCTAATTTCAAATCTATTGAGTGCCTAATCTACAAATTATGTTTTGAATAATTTCAGAAAAAAAAATTATATCTCGAGTAGTTTGAGTCAGAAAAATTTCCAAATGGCTAAATAGCAAAATGATCTAACGTATTAGTAGATTTCGTAAGTAGACTGTGTTCATTGTTTCCATATACAGCACTTGTTGACGGTGACTTCTCAATGTTGATATTTAAAAAAAACAATTTTAACATGTCATTTTTTGATTTTTCTTTATAATTATTTTTCCAATGTAAACAATATGATATGTAGTGCACCTTGAAGCAGTAAAACAAAGAGTATGATATTTTGCGCACCTTGAAGCAATAAAATAGGGAAATAATGTTTTTTGAGAGAATTCCTGCTTAAGATACATGCAAGAATCATTCTCGTGATTGTATTTAACCTCGCTGATACGATAGGTTTATTATTAGATTTTGTTACGATAGGTCATAGAGATTGAGAAAATAAGAGTCATTCAGATAATGGTGATTGCATATGAGACGATTTCATGTAGTGGATCAAGGTGAGGCCCCGAACTTGGAATTTGGACAAATAGGGAAGAAATAGATATACTCGCCTGAACAAGGGGTTGAGAGAAATTTATTTAGACAGAAAATTTTTTGTCTTATTTTTGTGAGAAGTTTTGGTTAAATTTGATAAAATAAATTTCGTTTAGAATTATTATTTTTATAAGATCGTGTGAAAATTGAATCACTCTACATAGGAGTGATTCAATTAAATCGATTTTAATTAAATTCGATAAAATGTTAATCTTGGATTTTTTTTAATTGATGCCTAACGGTGACTAATTTTATTACGAATATGTGCCTAATATACTAAGATTAGGCACAAATAGGCATATGCCTAAACTACAGAGGCCTGGATATAACACAAATGTCGAACGAGTAACATGAAATCAAAACTGATCACTAATCACGCAATAAGTGGTGGAGTTCAGCAAAAGCATTGTTACCATATCGGTATACAAATCTTTCCGTATTATTTTTCCTAATTTAAAAAGAACCGAAGTGACATGAAAATTCACATGAGTATTTCAATAAAAGATGGAAGACTTGTGAAAGTTTGTGTTCTTTCTGGCAGATTCTTTATCGCATGAGAGTTGACTAACTAATTTGGACCACATGATCAGAAATTAAGGTACAGGTTCTTGGGTGAAGTGATAAGCTGCCACAATGGGTACAATTTCAAACGTCTTAAAATTTCACACTGGCGTAAGTAGATGCCTTAGTCGAACAGCTCATGAGGAGGTTGATCGAATAAACACGTAGAATATGTCAAGTCCTTGGGAAACAAAATCAGTCAGATAGAATATTTGACTTTATTATGAATTGAATCTATGTAAGAGGACTTTGGGCAACAATATAGATGAACAGACATGGGGTCAGGCTATATCAATTCCTGTCGTGTCAGCGGGTACTGAAAAGAAGAGGAAGATAATCACGGCAATTTGTGATTCTCATCAGATCAATCCTACACCTCAAAGTCCAACCAAATTTACCTATCGCTCTGCCACATCAATGAGTTTCGGGCCTGTGGATAGCGGATTTTCACACGTTTCCTACTTTGCTGGATAGTCCGCACAGATGATGCTTTTGCAGAATCTCATCTCGGACCATCAAATACAGATGGACATGGACAGACTTCGCACGAAGGTCAAGTCCAACGTAGAAGTGAATATATGGTCCCCCTAACAAACGCTTTTGTGATGATTTTGGACGAGTTATACATTCCTTTTCTATATCCTTTAGATACGAAGGATCTTCTATAACATATTACACATGATTATAAGGATTTGAATACACAGTATATCTTACAAATTATATTCTTAATGTGTAAGATATTGTAATTTAGGGATATTGCTCTTCATCTTAAGTAGGAAGTATGACATCAACATACTATAGTTCCGGATTTATTTTTTCATAAAATCTTACTCTATTAAAATGTTCTCAAGTGGAATTTGACATCCACTCCTTTTGCATTGTTTGTCAACACTATTACTTGCATTCCTATCATACTTGATGATTAGTATCATGAGCATATTTAATAGTTTCATGAGATCAAGTATCTATTAGTATGTGACAAGAGATTTGGTATGGAGACAACCTTCTTTGCTAATTGTGTGTAAGATTAGATTTAATAGAAATGAATAAGATATGATGCTTAGCAATTTGCAAACTTTGAATGTTCAACAAAACAAGATGTACTAAGTCTGGAGTAGTAAAATATAACATAGTCCAAAAATTGGAAGATGTAATTATCAGCTTTGAAAGAGTCAAAAGCAAGTTGAAAGCTATGTGTGTTGGCAAACCTTGATTCTTGGAATGTTCATTTACAACAATGACAATTGGAACGATTTCAAGAGTAAGTTGTAACTAATATTAGATTAAATTTGCAACATCATACTTTAAAGCAAAAAGATGAATATGACGACTAAAATCTATTGTTTATGGCTTTTGAGCTACAATTTAATAGCAAAGAGTTGTCAAATTGGTACTATATGTCATTGAAACTAATAAATTTCAAGATGAAAGATTTTGGCACAATGATGCAAGCTCATGTTGATGTCTGTGGTGATCTTCAAAATCTTGGAAAGTTGTGCGAATAACTATCGTCATACAACATACATCGCTGAAAGTATGAAATGTCATACTTTCACACATTCGTATAAGGAACAAAAGTGTACACATAAAAAAATGTATCACAATTGAAAATCTCACGAACGCTACACTGGCATGAAACACGAATCTCACCTATAGTCGAGCCAAGCTCACTCCACAACTAGGAGAATACATGCGGATGCTAATGGTACATAGATGAAAGCTACTTCCAACGCTGAAGTCTCAACTCAAAAAACTGAAGGTTCTTCGAATTGTCATTCGACTGAACTCTCCAACTAGCAAGAGTGAACACTAATCTAGGGTTAACTCAACTAAAGTTAACCTTAGTTTGATACTTACTTCTTAGAACACATATGAATATGAACATGACAACTGTCGTGAGAATACCCATCGTCATACAACATAAATTGTAAACATGTCATGCTCACACACACATATATATATGAAACAATAACATACACATACACAAATGTATCACAACCCACACTCCTAGTTGGCGGTTAGGTCCTTCTAACTCTTAGTTAGTCTTATATGTCTACACTATAACATGCCTCTTTGTGGATCAATAGGCCAATAGGCCAATGCAAAGAAAGCCTCATCCTTACTCGTCTATCGGAAATCCATGTCACATATAGATCAAATATTCTATAGGTTTAAGATCATGTTTTCTATCGTTCTAAGTACATCAAGAATATATCCATCATTCAACATGAACACCATCAATAGGTGAAATTAAGCACGACACATACTAATCCAGAAAACACGTATCACATAATAACATACGGCTAGCGTCAATTACTGAACCATACAAAATAGATCTCAAACCGGCACATATCATTGCTACGTTTGGATCAAGTGTACCATCAATGATTGAAAAGTGACATGATGCTCAATTGCACATATGATCATTCCACACAACTCCATCACAGTGCTCCAACATCAAAACTCAAGGATGTAGCATCTCTCGCATCCGTATAATGCGTCCTGCTGTCACATCCAACATGATCGGCGCAGTCTGTTGCAAATAGACAAAATCGCCCACATGAAACCTATGAGTCAATGATCAATT